TCTCACAATTCGATATTCAGATAGCACACCATTCTTTCTCATTAGCGCTACAAAGTGCAGAAGTGTTCGATGCAGAAGCCACAGCCGCAGTAGCAGGGGCAGCAAAAGCCCTCACTCTAGCATCAACCAAACTGGCCACAGATCTCTGGATCTTCTTAGACAACCACGAGGCTGCTCTCCGATTAGGATCCCACTTCAATGGTTCCTCACAGAGAGTCTTTGAAGACTTTCTGAAGCTCACACAAGCTTGGGCTGTTAGACCAAGGCTCCCACACACCTCCCCCGGGAAAATCCGCGTCCGATGGGTCCCAGGGCACCTGGATATCCCTGGCAACGAAATAGCTGACAAAGCCGCTAAGGAAGGAACAAAACTCCCCTTTCCCCTCAACCCGATCTGTACGCTAGCATCCCTAAAAAGAATGATCAGAACAAGGGCCAACAAAGCAGACGAACAATTATGGAATACAGTCAGCCCACAATACTACAAAGATCTCCAATTCAACCACACTTCTAATACAGACACCCTCTCTCTGAAGAGAGCCACACTCCACCATATTCTCGCTATCAGATCACAGCATGGCGACTTCGCAGCATACCATGAACGCTTCAATCACACTACAGCCCACGTCCATTGCTCGTGCGGTAAAAGGAAAACTCCATTACACTTTTTCTTTTGCAAAAAAGGAAAAGCCTTCAAAGCGCTCACAAAGAGCCCCCCCTCCGAAGCTATCCCCTGGCTTCTAAGCAATCCCACCGGTATAGCCAAACTAGCCGAATGGCTAGAATACACCAAATTCTACACAAAAATCTGCCCGTGGCACACAGGTGCAAGATAAAAAAAAAAAAAAAAAAAGAACTTTCTTTCTTTCATTGGATTCAAACGGAGTTAATAGGTCTCTAAGGGTGCTTTTCCTCCCTCTTCTTTCCTCTCTTTCATCTTTCCCTTTTCTTTCATTAAAAAAAAAAAAAAAAAACAAGTATGCATACGAACAATCTAAACAAGTACGAGGAGACAGGGAGAGAGATCAAGAGGTAGTGATCTAGTGGACGAGGATGACCACAATTACAACCCCAAAGGCCTACCGGGCCCAAACCCCCCCTGGCGAAGGCAATCATGTAAACCCTGCCCTAGCCCCCTTTAAATTGTTAAAAATACCCCCCCTAGCTAGCTAG